TTGGTACTGAAAATTTAAAGTTGTGTTAGTATATTTAACTTAAAAATATATATAGATATATCTAATACATTTTTAAAGATAAATCCCTGTTCCGTTTCTACCTCATCCCCCACTTATTATTATTTTTTAATATAAAATTCTAATTATATGTTTGATTATCGCCGTGGATAGGACGGTCCGAAACAGAAAAATGAACACCCTTACTTATAAATATAGGAAACGTATTAGATACTCTTGAAATTTACCTATAAAACTTTATCAGACTTTTTTTTTTTGTCATCTACAGCTATTAATATGTTCATATTAACAATATTTATTATACTAAAATCTTACGGTAGACATAATTTATTGACTAAAGTGAATAATAAGGTAATTTGATTTAATTTTCTTTTTAGAAGAAATCGAACTTTTCATTGAAACAAATGAGAACAAAGGACATATACAAGGACATACAAAAATAAAAGCGCAGAAAGACGAATCCTGCTTAAAGAAAGGGTAACGTGGTGATTTACTTTATTAAACATTAGAGACTTCAAAGTTGAAACAATATTTATCTCTTATAGGTAATATATTTGAAGATTGACGTAAATGTGGTAATAAAAAATAATTAATTAAATTCAAAAATAATATTATTCAAATTTATCATCATACACAATTATATTTATACTCGTTGAAGAGACTTTTCAAATCTTAATTAATTAAATTAGTTTTTAAAAATAATGTTTGCTTCTCAGTAATTATTTATATTTTACAATCTATTAGTACTGAGAGGACTAAAATTCTAACTAAGCTTTAATTATTTTAATTTGTTTTATTTACCTCTGAGTTCAAAGTCAGAATGTCATAATGCTATGAAACATTTTAGTCCTCATAATTTTATTAAGACTAATTTTAAGTATTGCAATTGATTCCTTCAAATCATATTATAAATCTCTAATCAAATTACTCTTTAATAAAGAACGTTCCCTACTAACTAATTAAATGGATATACCATCACCAAAGTCGAAGACTTCAATCCCCACCTGGATATGTAATGACAAATGCTTCCTCAATGATTCACAAATACGGACTAAAACAACAAATTACTTAGACTAAAATACCTAACAAAATTGTTCGTTCATCTCGTGGATATGAAAACTATAAAGCTCATTTCCATGTATGGAAGAAGCATTTCTTTTTCTTTATATAATTCCAAGAATAGGAAGAATCCTTTGGGCCAAACATAAAAAAGAAGCTTCAAATTTGAATAAAGAACAACAGAGATGTGGTTTAAACGAGGAAATCTGTGTCTGAAACTTCAAGAGCTTTGTGAAAGCCTATTGGCTTCACACCTTGCCGAAAGGCATTACCCTCTATGTACCTATCAACCACACACACAAAAAGACCAAATACTGGGCTTCAGTTGCTGATATCTAATCAAGTGATAATGGCAGGAAAGAAGAAGAATAAGAAAAAACTCACATCGCTTTCAATAACGGATGTTTATAAAAAGCATCTGAAATTCTCCCACTAAATTGGTTGTAGTCCAAGAACCTGTGAGTGAACAACATTTCCTAGTAGTCAATATTATGAACATCTCATCAAGCAAAGGAGTTGCCAACTTTCAAAGGATAATGCAGCATATGACCCAAAAAAATTTCCCATGATAAAGGGAAAATACTAGTAAGCGTTCATATGAAGTGTCGAGCAGAAAAAGGCAGAAGGCGTGAGCATTGGCCAAGACAGAATAAAATGTGAAACGACATTGAAGAACATTACTAACACAGGCTTCAAAAATATGAATATCTTATCAACTGTATTGTGCTTTAGCCAAGGAATGTCGAGCAAAAAATATTTGCTTCTGAGGGCATGAAAAGACGTTTTCACTGTTTACATATCAGGAATAAAAGCATTGGCAACTTTGAAGATCCTTTTTTCTTTTTCTGTTGGGGGAAGGGGAATTGAGTTAAAAGAGAATTATTTTAACTTCACCAGTAAGAATGCACAACTTATTTCTTGAGTTTCTTCCCCCTGTTTGCTACCCTCCACTTGACATGAATTTGCTTCGTTTTCACATGCAAACACGGTTATTTGAATAAACCATTGGATGTCTAGAATGCATGTGCTTGCAATTCCATCTTTATGAATATATATTCTTTAACTACTGACAAATCCCAACCAAATGTAAGAGCAACAGATCGTTAAAGATACTCACAAATAAGTCAGTCTTGGAATACGTGCTAATTCAGCAGGAATTATTCCAGACATCTTGTTGTGTGATAGGTACCTGACCCAACAAAAAAAAAACATCACTTCCATTGACTTCATGACAAAAAAATAATCAAGAAAACGAAGAATATGATTCTATAACTAGTACACTATCAGGGTTTTGAATCCCAAAGGAAATCACAAAGAAAGAAGTGAAACATACAAGATTTCCAAGTTCGTCAAGTTTGCCAGTTGAGCAGGAACTCCTCCAGTAAAATAATTAGCATTGAGATACCTACAGGTCACATGATATTTAGTTAGTCAAAATCATCATTTCAACAATATCCAAAGGGACAATGAAAAAGGACAACATTGGAGCAATTCTAAATTTATATAGACTACATACAGGTTGCGAAGAGATGGAAAGCAACCGTCAAAGCGTATAAGTTCTCTAATGGTGCCGACCAAGTGATTGTTACCCACATCCCTGTCAATAACACAATTAGGTTGGTACTCGGTATTATAAATAAAATTGGGAGATGAGATCGTTCAATAGTACAAGACAGTAAGTGTAATTTACAAGTGGCGTAGATGCTGCAAGGTGCCCAATTCAGGAGTAATTCGTCCAGTGAAACGATTTTCTTGTAGGTGTAGATAGCGAAGTTCTGGAAGACTAGCAAGCTCCCTTGGAATTTCTCCCTTGAAATTATTGAAGCTCAAATATCTACAGAAAATTTTCTCAATTACCAATTTAGCCACACGTAAAACAGCAAAGAGCCAACCCAACTAAATCAAAAGAAAATAAAAGACCAACTGAAAGAACTAGAATTACTTACAGATGAGTTAAACTCTTGAGTTCACCAATTTCAGGAGGTATGACATCTTGCAGCTTATTCCACCTCAAGTTACTAAGGTGGGGGACAACAAGAATCAGTACTAAATGAGAGTAAAAAAGGAAACGAAAAAGCTCAGAAATTTTTAGCAAACGAGAAAGGAATCTTAGATTAGAATGTTTATTTCAACATTTAAAGTGTGGGTGGCCCAATAACTCTGTTACAAACTCAAACTAAATGAGCTAAGCATAATTCTTCCAAGTCATGATATTGTAATCCGAAAATAAAACCACATCACTGAAAGAGTAAGGCAAGGGATATACAGTATCTGGAGACGCTTCAACCGTCCAATTTGAGGAGGAATTGGTCCAGTCAACTTGTTATTGTGAAAATCCCTGAAATAAGAAAACGTTTAAACCTTATTTGGATTGAGGTGTTTTAAAATCTTCTCTCTAATAAAAGCAGGCCAGTTCTGAGGAGAAAATAACGTATCACTCATATTGTGCAGTCTATCAAAAGTTAGGACACGATACACAAGCAGAGACAACTGCAAAATCTTGACAGCCAATCAATATTTTTCCCATGGGTTTATTGCTTCATTCAAAGATTTGAAAATTTCTAATACAGTTGAGGAAGGAAACACTTACAGCCTAGTAAGATCCAAGAGATTGGTTACAGCAGTGGGAAAGGGACCGACAATCGACACCGCATAAACTTCCCTACAGTAGCAGCAGACAATAAATTGAACGAGGATATAACGGCAAGTGAGAAAACAAACAACGAACAACAATGCAAATTCCAAATGATTAGGATCAATTCAATTCAATTCAATTCAATTCAACATACAATTTAGTAACCACTCTATAATCTCCTTGGGTAGAACAAGTGACACCGGACCAAGGAGGCAGATCACCATCACCACACGGATCGTCTCCAACCCAGGAATACACCACTCTCCAGCCAAGAGAAGCCTTGATCTCATTCAATGCTTTCACTACAAATTACAAATATTCAGTCCGTAGAGAAAAAATCACAGCGAAATGTAGATAGAAGCAAGTGGCTGCTGGAAATACCATCTCGTTTAAGGGTTTTACAAAGAATGGGATCGTGTAGCAGAGAGAAACAGATAAGGAATAGACAAAACGCGGGCAGTGAAAGTCGCCGCGCCATTTTCTCAGATCTGTGAGTTCCTTAACTTCCAGGAGTTGATGGAATTTGAAAATTCAGATCAGAAATTGATATTGATTTGACAGATCTGAGTGAAGAAACAATTATGAGAACTTGCGCGCCTCGAACAGGGACTCCAGTGTTTCTATTTCACTACGAACGCCTTCTCGGATTTGCTCGTTCAGCAAACGCGGAAAAAGCCGCTATTCGTCGGTGGCTTTAAGTTTTGAGCCTTTTAACCTTATTATTTATTATTTAAGAGAAATGAAACATAAATAGATAATTCAATTCGAAGTAAAATAATAATAATAATAAAATTCAACAGTAATACCGTATAATACTTATCATTTGACCATCAACATGTATGAATTTATTTTTATATAACTTATTAGTTAAAATATAAATTTAAATATAAGGTTGGTTTAGTAATGTTACTGTATTATCATTTTAATAAAACAAAATGAATTGTATAGTCTTAACATTAATGAATTCAAATATGAATTCAAACATGATGAAATAGTGTTTTTATTTATGTTTTGGAACAAAATTTGAATTCAAATGTGGTGAAATAGTGTTTTTATTTATGTTTTGGAACACAATTGAAAATGTGAATAAGAAATAATAAACTTATTTTTTTTTTCAAACCTTCTATACAATTATCTGCAAAATGCTTAGATTTCTTTAAAAAATTAAAAACAAAAAACAAGAAACATCAACATTACCAAACAAGTCTATAGTATTTCGTTCTTTTTTTCATAGTCAACACGAACCTAGTTCAACGGGTTAAGTCATATATTTTGATTGTCATTAATTAATTTGAATTCTCATCTTCGCATGTACTATTTTTTTAATTATATTCTTGATTTTTTATTATTGTTTATCTAGCAATTAATATAATAAAAATCTCCCTTAAATAAATTTAAATTGAGTCAAAATATTATAATTGATATTCTTTCAAAGTAATTAATACATTTATGGTTCATTTACATAAATGTAACTGACTAAATAGTCATGTTAAACAGATGCTTATGAAATATTAAATATACCTTTGTTAATTATTTTAACAAATGTTAGTCACTATATAGTGGATCATATAACACATAACACATAACACATAAGATTGCTTTTGAGCTAAGGACATTTAACTTAGAATTTTTAGTAGACAAATTTAAGATAGTACCAAAAAGTTCATTGAATGAGGGTTTAACAACTTAATTAATAAGCTTTAAGATTTAAATGGAATGCGCCAAAGCGAGCATAGTTCAATGATAATTGACATATATCTCAAATCACAAGATTTAACCTGTTGTAAAAAAAATTTTGATAGGAAATTATGTTAAGAAATAACAGTTCAAGAAATATATTGAATTTAGTGCCACGTTAGAATTACTATAGGAAAAAAAAGATCAAAATTGAAAAGAATTAAAATGGTCACTTTTAAAAGTAATAAAACAAAAACCAACTTTTCAAAGGTAGAACTAAAATAAATCAAGTTAAAACGTAGGAGATCCTATTTCATTCCTGCCATTTCATTCTTGCTATATTGAAAATTGAAGAAAAATTAGGAAATGGCGACGAAATATTTGCATGGGTTGCTAAATATTGGGGGAGAAAAAAGGGATGATCTTAACCGTTGAAATCTCTAGATGGAATGATCAAACGATGACGTTTACATACGTGAAAGCAAAAGCTGTGACGAAGAGTGAAAGTGATTGCCAACTATACCCTTGGCCGATGGAGGCCCCTCACCATAATAAATTAATAACAATAACAATAATAATAATCCCCCTCCCTCATGAGTCTCTCGCTCTGCATTTAAACACTCTCCCCCTTTCTCTGTCACCATCTGAATCTCTTTTCATTTCCCTCCTTTCTTTCAGTTTCATCTTCTTCCTCTCTCTATCAGAATTCCACAATGAAATCCTCTCTCTCTGATCTCTCTTCATCTTCTGCCACCAATGGCCAGCTCCTGATGGTGATCTTTATACTTCTACTCGTCTTTGTCACCTCATCCGCCACCAGCCTGTCCAATGCTCCACCTTTTTCTTCCACTGCCATGCCAGATGCTTCTCCGACCATATCTCGACGCCACCGTCACCAACCGCCTCGCCATGAGCCGCAGCTTCATCCTTGTGATGCTATCACTCGTCCAAATTCGCGTTCTTTGTGTATCCATCTTCACAGAGTTTACCACCACCGCCTCCCCGTCGTTCATGTTCCGCCGGCGTTGCTGACAGGCAATGAGATTGATCCCCAGTACGGCGTCGAGAAGAGACTCGTGCCGTCGGGACCGAACCCGCTTCACAACTAAAAGAGAGAGATCAAGATCAAGAAGAAAAGAAAGAGCCAAGAGAATTTTTCTTCATCACAACCACCATTTTTCAGCCGTTTCTGTCTTCTCAATTTTCTTACTACATTCCAGTAGAATATCATGAACCCTTTTTCTTGAATCCTATTAGTCAAGGATGAAGAAGAAGAAGAATATTTAATCCTCGTACGTGCCCGAAGGCAGAAGACTATATATGTTAGTTGATGAGTTTTGTCCATGTCGTATGTCTTGTTTTCCTTTTTGTTCTTTATTTCTCTTTTTCAGGTCACTGTTGCTAGCTATTTCCAATCTTGTTTTTGCATATCCAAGCGTTCGAGTTTTCAAGGAGGAGGACGTTGGAGTTCATTTTGTTGTGGAAATGGCAAAAACAAGCATGGAAATGGCAAGGTATTTACTTTAAGATTTGGACTAATTTTAAGGGGAAAAAAAAGAAAAAAAAAAGTCATAGGTGGTCGGGTCCGTAGGCAAGATTCAAAAGAAACCCATGAGTTTCATTAATTTTGGAGGTATAAGGTACAAAATGCCGACATGACAGGATTCATGAGGTTTTCTTTTTTTGGAGGGGTACAATGGAACTTTCATATATCTCTTTACTGTTTATGGAATTAATGTAATTTTGTTGTATAGGCTGTACTGTCTGAATCTATGGAAACATATGTATGTAAAAGTGAAGCCCCTTTCGAGTTTCTTTATTGCTTCCATTTTCTACTTTCAACTGTAGCTTTACCTTGAGAAAAGAACTAGCCATGGCTACTATCTTCAACAAGATGAAGGAATAAGCTTTTTCATTGAAAGAATTGAAAAACAAAGTTTCGTACCTTATTACAACCTTAAAAACCAACAAGAGAAAAACAAAAAAATGGAAGTACAATCAATAATAAAGAATGTTTGTATGAAATGCTTCCACAGCTAGAAACAAACAGGAGGGAGGGAATCAGGTGGGAGAGAGAATAAGAGTGTCTGATTTTACTTCCCAATCAAATGGCGGGCTCGTTGATTGGCACCTTTCACTCTAGAATTCAGCTCGTCGACATCGTCGCTAAGATGATCCAGAGCTTTGTTTTGCCTGCATTTACCAGAGAATGTGCATCCCATAAATAACTATGTAATAAGCTAACGGATTGATGAGATAATTAATACAACAATCTCTAAGTTGAGAACAGAGGATGGCATATATGACCTATCAAGCTCGCTTCCCATGTCCACAGCCATGCTCTTCAGATCTCCCAAGATGTTGCTTAAATCTGAAAGTGCATCATCTTGCTTTTCCTTCTCAACCTGTGAGACAACATTTTTACCTTTTGGTTAAAATCTGAAACCATAATGGTGCCTAAATTATTGAGATGGTGAAATGATAACAGCCAATGGATCTCACATCAACTTTTTGCAAGGCAGTTGTTGCTCCAGAGGCTGGTTTTTGAGTAGCCGACTTTTTGTCTGTCGATAAACCCAGTTTTTCCCTTTTTTCCTTGTTGTTTCCAGACTTCCCAGAGGAATGGTCTGGACAGCCAAATGGCCATAATCAATAGCAGATAGAAATGAGAATGGCAGTAAGTCACAAGAATGACAGTATATAAAAGGTGCCAAAATAACCAATGAAAATATAACCTGCTGTTATAAGAGGGCCTGTAATTTCTTTGGTCTTCTTTGGCTTCCATGTCTTAGAGAACATGCCTCCAAGATTATTCAGAAGTTTCTCACCCTATCATTAATAATAACAAATAAGAAACTATTTGCAAACAGATCAACGACTAACCGAGAACATAAAGAACATATAAACGATGAAAACTTCATCCATTTTCTAGCTTGATTGCAAACTAAAAGGTTCTTCGTTCTATATCATTTCCAACTCTTAGAGAGTAGGACACATCCACAACCTAATCACACAAACTTGGAAGCCAAATGTTTCACGACAGCTCAGTTTCAAATTGAATAATCAGATTCCCTTTCTACATATATCAGATCAACATGTATCAACTAATAAATTCAGGATAACAATATGAAATAGAAAATTAAGTTCAAAGGTATCCGATGGAAACTAGTGAAGAGCCTACCTTACTTAGATCTTTATCCATATCAGCAGCCATCCTGTGGGTTCTCTCTATTTGCTCACCCTGTTGATGCAACATGTCAAGAGTCCTGGTAGCATCTTCCCTTATGTCCTCAGCGATCTTCAGGCAGTTGTTAACAGATTTCGTGGTCTCCTCGGCCTTATACACAGCGTAGTTCTCCAATTCCTGCACACTCTGATTCTCAAATCCTCCCGAGTCGCTAAAATCATTTTTGTACCTGTCTTTAGAAGCAGCTGACGAAGTTGCAGTCCCTCTTTTAGCTGAAGAAGTTGCAGTCCCTCTTTTTCCAACAAAACCCTCATCATCATCATCATCAAAAGGGTTGTCCGGTGTAACAAGCACAGGCTCAGAAGAAGTTCTTCTTGCAGGATTAGGAGTTTTTTTGTTATCAGATTCAGTGTCTGAATCAAAAGGATTATCAGTGCCAGATCCGGCAGGATCCACAGAATTCTGCTTAGGAACTTTGTTCGCGGGTGATTTCATGAAACTAAACATCCTGGCTGTACAAAGAGATTCTTAAATTTCTAATGAACTATTGGCAGATTCTTAAATTTCTAATGAACTATTGGCTAAGCGGCTCTAAAACAAGGGATCTGGTGAATGTAACCAGTACCTGAAAAATTGTAATGAGTGGATATAATTAGGAATAGGAAAAAGGTCGTTCGTTCCAAGTTTATGTCAAAGTTTTCAATAGAAACTGAATTCTTAGCGGACAATAGATTCTCAAATATTAAAAACAAAATAAAATTACTACTTTTCCATTCAAAGATTAACTGCTAATAAGAATGCTAATGCAATTCAAGCATAATGATTGAGATATTGGGGGTCGAAAGCTCAACCAAATCAATACTCTTAGCAATTTAGCCCATAACGATACAGATAAACAATATGAACGGAAAATGAGGGTTCAGAAAATGGAGAAGGAATTACTGGAAATAGAAATCAAAGAATACCGTCAATAAACAAAATGAGAGAGAATGGTACCTAAAATTCGAAGAAGAAACCCGGAGCAGGAAGAAAATATGAAACAAAAGCGGAATAATGGATTTTGTTCTTGACGATTTTCTGTGGGTTTGATCCTTAAACTCGGATAAAATTGAAAACTTGTAACAGATGGGAGGCGTCGCGGAAAAGCAGAGAATTGTACGTCTCCGACTCGCTAGAAAAATAAAGAGTCTATTCAATTGAGAAACAGGTTTTCACTTTGAAATTTGTTGTCAGCCCTTAGAAATTTAGACCGTTGGGATTCTGAGATTGCGATTTTCCTTTTTTTTTTTTTCTCTCTCTCTCTCATTTATTTAAATTCGAAGAGGGACAACAGAGAGAGAATTCTGTTGAGAGCGCGCGGCGCACGTGCTTCCCCAATTGTCGCCGCTATGACCTTTTGTAAATGGTGGTCCTTTTAAACGTTAAATCTCATATGTCAAACACTGACATAGTTGAGTGCATTTGTTTCTTTATTTGAGGTTAGATGTTCAAATTTTTATATCTCAATTCGTTGTACAAAAAATAATAAATCACATATTTTTTTCTTACAGTGAAAAAGTTTAAATCTATATATTCTGGTATTTGTTATACTAAATAAAATTTGATCAATCAAATATCTAAATTTATATTGATGCAATTAAACCACGAAATACAGTGAAATGCATAAAACACCCTCAAACTACAAAAATTTATACAATCAAATCCAAATAGTTACAATTTAACCCTTTTTAAACTATATAAAATTGAAAACTACAATAACATCAAAAGTTTTGGTCTTCAAATCAATTCTTAATTAAGAAAACAAAATTTGATGTAAAATTTGTATGTTTGATTGCAACAATCCTATAATTCAAGAAATTGTAATAATATTTATAATTTAGAGGTGGTTTGTGCTTAATACAATATTTAAGTATTTTAATTGTAATAATTTGTAAGTCTAGGAAATGATTTATCAAAATGAAACTGCGAGGGTGTGGATGTTACAACACCATTTTCTCAAAATAATTATATGTGCCAGATTAATTGTTAAAACAATTTTCAATTTATTTTTTTAACAATGTGTAGGAGTGCGAATTTGAACCTTCAACGTTTTAATTGATAATATATATTTTGGTATGCTCAAGTTGGTGATATGAGAGTTGATGAAATAATACGATAAAATGTTAATACTAACATAGAAGAAGAGTGTTTCAAATAGTTGAAGAAGTTTATTATTTTGTAAATTAGGTAAATTTCAATTTTTTAAGTACGAATTAGGTCCATTTCATTGAGGTTTATGTAATAGATTTGATTGATTCTGTTTGAATTTGAATCAGTTTTAAATTAAAAAGACAATAGATTATTTAAAAAAAAACATTTGTTATATATAATTAAATTTTGAAACATACCAATATTTATAAAAACTAATTACTATTACTCACGTATTTAATATTTAAAATAATCTTCTTGAGGTGGGAGGTTGAATTCAAACCCCCAGCTCCAAATTTGTTGTAAAAAAATCAACAAATGTTTAATAATATGATTTAAAAATGACTTGATAAAATATAAAAACTAAAAATAATCGAGTGAAAAAGTGGTGCTAAGTGCTAATAATTATTTTTAAAAATAAAGTAGGTTATTTTTTTTATTAAGAACAAAAATTAAAGTATTGTAAGTATAAAACAAAACAACAATATAGGTAATGTGAAAGGGTACTGTTGATGCGTGGATTTCGATCCTCCGGTTCTCCTCCTCGCACCTACCAAACTTGTTGATCCGGGACTAGTACCTGCAAAACCAGATGAGTTAAACCGGTGTGACTCTAGTCACACGGGCTCCGATGCTTAAGTTAGCAGGAGGATAATGTGAAATGTAGCTAGTTTTAGATGCCCTTACCTCTAAGGCTGGATCGCTACTTATAGTCGCCAGGTTGTTCCAGAACATTCCATAGGTAGCTAACCCTAATTTCGTTGGCGGGCCTGGGCGAAACCGTTGATCGAAGACGAAGGGCCGCTGGAGGGCCGTGGGCCGAGCCACGGGTCGGGGCCGAGCCCCGGGTCGGGACCGAGCCCATTGCAGCCCAGTGGCTTCCTTCCGATCTTCACTTGTACCTCGACTTTCGATTTCCATTGCATAACAGGTACATATAGTAAATTATAGATAATTAACATCATTCAAAAGTTAAAATTACTGTGTAAAGTTTCTCATTGTAAATTTAAATATTAAAAAATCAAAATTTACTGTGTAAAGTATCTCATTTTAAATTTAAATATTAAAAAACATTCATTACATAGCTAAAATAAAAATGGAATATTAAATGGAGGAAAGATAAAAAAAAAAAAAAGTTATTTGTCTTTGGCCAATTTTAAGGTTGAAAATTTTTATCAAAAAAAAAAAATTAAAATTTAAGGTTACTTTTCTATTTGAAAGGCTTATTGTACATAATATCACATTTTAAAATAATTATAAATTATAATTTATTCACTTTATCCCAATTATTGATGGTTTTAATAAAGAAATAAAATGCTGATCTTAACAAATAAAATATGAACATTACAATAATTAAAGAGCTAAAATATACTAAATGGTCCTTCTTCTCTTAAGTAATTCCTAATGTAGTCCTCAATTTCACTCCCAGTGTATTAAAGATTCTCCATTCTCATTCCATAAAAAATATCAATTAAACTTTGTTAGTACAATATTTTTGTGTTATTCAATTATTATTTTATTAACATATTTTGACATATAAACGTTGACGAGTCACTTGGAAAAATGAATTTTGTTAATGGACAAGTCTAATTTGGATAATGAGAATGTTAGGTTTTATGTGTCAAGTAGTATTTGAGTGACATGTTCATGTGTTTAAATATAACATACAATAATTTAACATCAATTTTTTATTTACAATTTTATTAATTATTTTACACAACGACCTAAATGAGATTTTTTACTTACAAATTAAAGATTGTTTGATATATTTAATTGAGTTTAAACTAAAAAATGAAAATATAAAATTTAATTTCCAACAAAAGAGGGTAGATAAAGTTTTTCCTCCAAAGAGTTTAGGATTATAAATTGGCGATAGATATTTAATTAACTAATTACATTAACTATATATATATTTTGAGTTATTTATATTTAAAACATTAAATAATTACCAATAAGCATAACATAACTTAACTAGTTAAGGTTAAGAAATCATGTGTTCGAATCTTCCCATACATGAAATTCAAAAATATTCATTAATCAGTATATATGAGGTTAATTATTAATTATTTTTTAGTTCAAACAAAAAAAAAATTGAACCTATAAACATATTTTAATATTAGCATAGGAGACGCGTCTTCTATTTTGGCAAGACTTGAGCGGCTCAACATCACGAAGAAGCAAAAATATCTTTCCAAAGAGAGGAAAAATGGACCATCAAATGCCAAATAATTAAAAAAAAAAAAAAAAAAAAAAAGGCCTGAAATCTCAGCACCACACCACCAGCCACCAAACAACAACAAACAAGTTGCGCTAGCTTCCTGCTGAAACTATTTTAGTTATTATTTCTCAATGTAATCATTTTATTAACATAAACCTTTTTCTTTTTTTGGTAAGATTTTACTTGTAAACTTTACTTGAATTTGCCCCAAAAGTCATAAGTTTTGATTGATTTGTATTTTATTAAATAATGTTCAAACTCAAGCATAATATATCGGAACAAAACTTACAAAATAACTATTAAAAATATATCCAAACACAAATCAAAACGCCTAATCCAACTAAAAGGCATACAGTGTAATTAGAAAAAGAAAAAAACGTTGACTAAACAAAAAATTGTTCATGTTAACAAACATTTATAACTAGTAGTGAATTTTTGAAAAATAAAAACTCAATAAATTGAGGCCATTAGTTCAATTTGATAAAATTAAAACCGTGAAATTTTTTGTTTTTTTTAGTCTAATCCTTGGGAATGAGTGATCGAACTCACAACATCTTGATTAGAGACATATGTCAATTATCGCTGAAGTATGCTCGCTTTGACAACGGTTAAGTTTGTTTAACACAACAAATACAAAGGATAAAAAATTAATTTTCATCTGTATGATGTTTAATTTGAAGTATCATTTATTTTCATAAAAAATTGTCAACCTAAAAATATATCAATCTTTAAATAAGACAAATAAAATTTGCCTAGAAATAGTCACACTTGAAATATTGTGTAATAGTTCACTGATCGAGCGTTCTTGTGTCAAAGATGACTAGTGTTAAGCGATTTGTCGAAGTTGTGAGATGTAAAAGTACATCAATAGAAAGCATTTTGACTTGGAGGGAAGTACTCGTGCAAATAATGGTCGACGTAGCGAAAGTGAGAATCTAGACTTGATCAATGCAAGCATTCTTGAGAATTTAATAAACTGAAAACCAAAGGATTTCCCCACAGAATTTGTCCACAATGGTAAGTCAAGGCCTGGTCGAAAAACGTAGTCGATGGACAATGTTAATTTTGTTGCAAATAAGCTAAAAAGAAAAAGGAAAAAGAAGGAAAAAAGAAAAAAGAAGGAAAAAAGAAAAAAGGAAAAAGAATTAAAATGTGGGAAAAGATGAAAGGTCCCGCCAGCACGTCTGGCCACCGTCTCCCGCGCTTCCAACGTGCATTACGTAGAAACCACGGGGTATGAAACTCTGCACTCAGAAATACAGAAGATAAGAAACAAGATTAACTTCCTTCTTCATTCCTTCTCACTTTTCTGCTTCCATTTTTCAGCCATAATCTTCGTCCTCCTCAGAAACACAGCAATGGCGGCATTGCGATTATCATGGGCCTGCGCTCATTCTAATCCAGATTCAAAGTCCAAATTCGTTTCCAGCTTCACTTCAGAGTCCAGTTTTCGGACCAATTGGACGAGGCTTCTGTTGCTTAGAACCTCGGTCTCAAGTTCTGCAAGAAGGAAATCGTGCATGAGGAACGTAGTCAGCGATCAACAGAAGGAACTAAACGAGCCGGTTAACGGAGAAGGTTAATTGCGCTAAACTGACTTGAGATTTTATCCGACGATAGTCTCCGTAGTGGATATGAATGTATACATGTCTATTAATGGAATCGGTTTCTCAATTTATTGAAAATTTGTCTTTGTAGTTGTAGGCGGCTTCAATAGCTTGCTTCTGGATTCGGCATCCGTTGCCGCGAGTATTAAATACCATTCGGAGTTCACGCCTTCTTTCTCTCCGGAGGGCTTTGAGCTTTCTAAGGCATTCTATGCAACTGCTGAAAGTGTTCGTGATATGCTTATCATCAATTGGAATGCTACGTATGAATACTATGAAAAGATGAATGTGAAGCAAGCCTACTATTTGTCTATGGAGTTTCTACAGGTTATTGTCGACGCTGAATCACCAATTATGTAGTTCATAACTTATTTTAAATTTCCGAGAAGCCTGTTCGTTGTCATTCATGTTAGTGTATGTGAATTTGTGGTTTAATGACAGGGTAGAGCATTGCTAAATGCAATCGGAAATTTAGAGCTCTCTGGAGCTTATGCAGATGCTTTAAGAATGTTGGGATGTGATCTCGAGGATGTAGCAAGGCAGGTTAGCAATATATCGTATAATTGCATCTTGTCTCCTTGTTTCCTGCTTCGGTGAGTGACTTCTAATTTCTGGATTTTGGAGTTCCTTTCCCTGTACAAACACAAGGCTGTAACTTAAATTAGGAGAGGAAGAAAGTTTTCTGCTCATTTCTGGTCTTCAATAAATGTTTATTTCATTCCAACCGACTTCAGGAGCTATCAAAACAATGATACAAAGACTTAAGAGACCTAGGACTGCTACATTCATATGGATGAAAACATTTCAAATTTGAGATAAACTGGCATAAGTGAGTTACATATTTAGATTTTTTTTTTCACTAAAGAGCTCTTGATATCCTTTAAAAGGAGCAAGTTCCTTCAAAGAGAAAACTAGTCTTACAAGTTGCTCTAAGTTGTAGTGTGCTTTAATTTATTTTACATATACACATGGTGTCAACGGATATCTTGAGTGTAGGAGTCGGATGCTGCATTAGGAAATGGAGGATTAGGGCGGCTTGCTTCCTGCTTTCTGGATTCCCTGGCAACCCTAAACTATCCTGCATGGGGCTATGGGCTCAGATACAAGTATGGTTTGTTCAAACAGCTCATTACAAAGGATGGGCAGGAGGAAGTTGCTGAAAATTGGCTAGAGGTACTGTAGTATTTCTTCTATTTTCTAACAAGGTTGGTGGTCTCATTAATCCTGTGTTGCTTGATCAAATTTGTTTCATCAGATGGGTAATCCCTGGGAAATTGCAAGAAATGACGTCTTCTATCCTGTGAAATTCTATGGTGAAGTAATTTCAGGCGCAGATGGAAGTAAGCAATGGGTTGGAGGAGAAGATGTAACTGCTGTTGCCTATGATGTCCCAATACCAGGTTATAAAACTAAAAACACCATAAACCTCCGTCTGTGGTCCACAAAAGTTGCTCCGGAACAATTTAATTTAAGTTATTTCAATGTTGGAGATCATGCCAGTGCATATGCAGCCATAAAGAAAGCTGAGAAGGTATTGAAATTTCATGATAATCCTGCTGAAACTCTATTCGAATTATATCATCTTGTAAGTATTTTGTGTAGCTTCTAATTTCTCAACGCAAAGTTCAGCTATTAAGTAGGCTATGGATTGACCTAAAAGAATAAAATCAGAATGTGAGAACAAATAGCGCATGGAATGCTTCTACTATTTTCCTCACTACTAGCCACATCCAAATTTAATGATGTACTACCGTACTTAATTTGGTAACTTCAAGTGCTTAAATAAAAGAAGAAAATTCTTACACTCCCCTGCAAGATCTGCTACATATTGTACCCCGGAGATGAGTCACTGGAGGGAAAGACTCTTAGATTGAAACAACAATACACATTGTGCTCTGCTTCCCTTCAAGATATTGTTGCACGTTTTGAAAGGAGATCTGGAGAGCCTGTGGACTGGCAAAATTTTCCAGAAAAGGTTGCCGTACAGATGAATGATACGCACCCTACACTTTGCATCCCGGAGCTGATAAGAATATTGATGGATGTGAAAGGGTTGAGCTGGAAAGAAGCTTGGGACATCACTCGAAGGTATTTTTTCATAGTGGCTTACTGGCATATAAATATTTTTGCTGCTACCATGAGTATCAACTACTAAGCCAGCCGTGATATGTTTTAGATTCTTATACAATCCTTGCTTTGCTCAATGAATTTAATTTGCTGTTTTTATTATACTCACTTTTTTCCCGTCATAAAAGCTTATACAGACATAATATCTGAATTATCCATTCTTCTCTGTTTTTTGTTTCTTCCCTTTGCAAGAACTGTTGCGTACACAAATCATACTGTTCTGCCCGAGGCGCTGGAAAAATGGAGTTTCCCTCTCATGCAAGAATTGCTTCCTCGACATGTTGAGATAATTGAAATGATTGATGAGGAGGTAAGCATTGATATTAATGGTTGATCTTTGTTTTGGGACACGGTTAAAAATATAGATTGTTTTGTTGGGCTCCAATATAAGAACAAACGCACCAAATTTTCCGAGACATACCGTCTTCAGGTATATGGAATGACGTATTCTTTATTTCTTTTTATGGATTCAGCTTATCCACTCCATAGTTGCTCAGTACGGTACAAAAGACCTTGAGTTGTTGAAACAAAAACTGAAGCAAATGAGAATTCTAGAAAATTTTGAATTACCAGACTCGGTCATGGAAATGCTAGTAAAGTCAACGGAGGAGTCTGCAATCGATCTCGTTGAGGAAGCTGAAAATGTGGACGACGAATTGTTACCTAGTGAAGAAGGAGATGAATCTGAAGACAAAAATATTGAAAAGAAAACAGAGGTTTCGTTTGGAGTTGATCCAAAGCATCCAAGATTGATTCGAATGGCTAATTTATCTGTTGTTGGTGGATATGCTGTAAATGGTGTTGCAGAAATCCATAGTGAAATTGTTAGAACCGAAGTTTTCAGCGACTTCTATGAGGTAAATCCCACGAATGCCACTGCCTTCTCCCATCTAGCACAACATACTATTCAAAGTATATTATAGAATACAGCTATTCCTGATTAAAGTTTCACTTTATATAAGATTTAATTTGATACCATCACGGACGTGAAACTGAGCTTCTCCTCCATTTGAAGTTTACTAACTTCACATATTACTGTCAGTTGTGGCCTGAGAAATTTCAAAACAAAACAAATGGGGTGACACCGAGAAGATGGATTCGTTTTTGCAATCCGGACCTGAGTACAATCATCACAAAGTGGACTGGAACAGAGCAATGGGTGACAGATACTGAGAAACTGGCAATACTTAGAAAGGTAAAATTTTCAAAAACCGAAACTTTCAAGTCCCTACTTCAGTGAAGATTTATCCAACGGATAAACTTGACTTCCATTTGCGATATAACTGCATGCTTGCAGTACCATTAATTATCATAAACGTATCCGCCTGTTCAATTCCAGGAGGAGTAAGTCTCCATTTCCCAGTATCAAATATTTTCTGGAAACTATTCCGTAGCTTGAGCTAATTAGGTTTGATATTAATGTGGATGACGATTGTATATGCAGTTTGCTGATAACGAGGATCTCCAGTCCATGTGGAAGGAAGCTAAAAGAATAAACAAATTGAAAGTTGTCTCTTTCCTTAAAGAAAAAACTGGCTACTTAGTCAGCCCTGATGCTATGTTTGACGTTCAGGTTATTTTCCTGCCCTTGGACAGTTTACTTTGTGGACAAAGACACCAACAATTTTGACTTTCTGCAGAAAACTTGTGGGGTCGAAATTTTTATTCTTTTCTTTGGTATAACAACCGAAGTGATAAGGACCGCTATGGCTCGTTTTCTTCAAATATGTTGCCCATATAATTATCATTGTTAATATGCTTCCAAGATTAATTGAAGAATATGTTAATTCAGGTAAAACGCATCCACGAATACAAGCGGCAGTTGTTGAACATCATGGGGATCGTCTATCGTTATAAACAAATGAAAGAAATGAATATCGAGGAAGGAAAAGCCAAGTTTGTTCCTCGAGTCTGTATATTTGGTGGGAAAGCATTTGCTACGTATGTCCAAGCAAAAAGAATTGTAAAATTCATCACTGATGTTGGAGCTACCGTCAATAACGATCCTGATATAGGAGACCTTTTGAAGGTATATTGTGGCAGACAAACATATCACATATCGTTCTTTTGCCCCGGTAGTCTTTGCAACTATAGAAACCAATTTTAGCTTTAAACTTGTTTTTGTTATAGGTAGTCTTTGTTCCAGATTATAACGTGAGTGTAGCAGAAGTGCTCATTCCTGGCAGTGATCTATCCCAGCATATTAGGTAGTAAAGTTTAACAAGTTTGGATTTCCTTGCTGACCTTCATGTTCAATTTCATCCCACCATACATCAAACTACTGAAAGTAAATAAACATTCATTTCTTAAATCAAGGCTTATTATATTTTGAAGTCATCACAGTTGTTTTGGAAGGTTAACGTTCATTCTTACTTTTCTGGTTTTGGTATTGACTTCTCTGTTTTTGCGTTGTCTTGTAATTTGATTTCGAAAAGCACGGCTGGAATGGAGGCCAGTGGAACCAGCAACATGAAGTTTGCGATGAATGGCTGCATACTAATTGGAACATTAGATGGAGCAAATGTGGAGATAAGAGAAGAGGTTGGAGAAGATAACTTTTTCCTTTTTGGTGCAAGGGCGCATGAAATTGCTGGCCTAAGAAAAGAAAGATCTCAAGGCAAGGTAAGCTTAGAAACTCTTTGCTTTTTACCAAGCGGGACCGACGTTAATTTTTTTAAAAGAAAAAGCTTAATGAATAAAGGGGAAAATATACTTTGATCCCTTGATGGTTGCATAACTCATAATTCTGATTTTATGCATAGTTTGTTCCGGACCCGCGGTTTGAGGAAGTGAAGGCCTTTGTAAGAAGTGGGGTTTTTGGTCCCTATAACTATGAGGAGCTCATAGGATCTTTAGAGGGAAATGAAGGTTACGGTCGGGCAGACTACTTCCTCGTTGGCAAGGACTTCCCCAGTTACATAGAGTGCCAAGAGAGGGTTGATGAGGCATATCGAGATCAAAAGGTAAGCAACAGATTCCACACTCACTAATAAAGCTATGATGCTAATCTCCTAATCATCTACTTGTACTGGACAGAGATGGACCAAGATGTCGATCTTGAACACAGCTGGTTCATACAAGTTCAGCAGTGACAGAACCATTCATGAGTATGCAAGAGACATATGGAAGATTTCTCCACTAGTGCTATCTTAAAAGGTTCTGTTTCTTTCCTTTTTCCCGTAAAATTTGTTCTCCAACTCATTACTATTGTAATTGCCAAATGAGATGGGAAGATAGAAACAGGAGGTGAAAGTGAATCTCGTAGCCTATTCAAAATTAAAGCTACAACCAGAGAGAGGTATTTGATTACATAAGAAGTTCGTCAATGAAAATCTTAAACCCACTGGAACAGTCCAATTGATTTGATGTTAAGAGTTGGTTAAGAACAAGAACTAGCTGGTTAAACCAACTTACCATCCTCTGAGCTCTCTTTGAGTTTTGTTACATATTTCAGAATCATTCCTATGAGTCACTTGAATTCATGATAGAATTCAACTAAGATCAATGCAATCCAACCGTTTATTTGATTCACGACAGGAACAAAAAGGGGAAAATAGAGAAATAGGTCAAGGGTTCCTACTATTGGAAATTATAACAAGGATCAAAAAAAAGAATTGACATCACTTAGGAATTATGTAACCTCTCCTTCGTCTTCAAGCTACCATTAAAACCCAAACATTGGGAAAACATGACCTCAAATTTGAAAAAGAGGATTCAGCCTTATCTCTGTGTCCAAAAAATAAAAAAATGAGTGAAAAATTTAGGAACCTAAAAGAATGAGAAAGACAAAAACAAATGCCAAAAACTTTCTCTACAGACTTCATTTGCAAGGTTGATAACCTCACATTCTCAGGACAAGATAGAAGCAATTATCTCAGACTTGCCTGTCTTATTGAATTGGTGGCTATATTCTCCTGGATCCTAGATCAGACTCATCAGCAACTTGGCCTTTATTTTCTAGTTGCCTTCAACCTACTAATGCAATTAACCCCATCTCCCACTTTCCTCATCTTCCATAGGAGCAGGAACATTAAGATCAATTAGACCAGTGATGGGCTCTTGCCTTGTCACTATAGATGCATCTTCTAAACTTCCGACCACATGGGACCTCTTATGGCCACCCAAAGCCTGGCCTGATTTGAAGGCTTTGAAGCAAATTGGGCACTTGTGTTTTCTTTTGGGCCCTAATTTCTTCTCTTCATTTCCAGAAGTGTCCTGGTGACTCTTGTCTTTGCCACTGCTACACGCGATCAACTCCCTAGCTGGCGTGGAGATGGAGGAATTATTGGCAGTATTTATGATGTTTTCACCCGACGGATGCGTCCACTCGCAGCCATTGCTCATTCTTGTATGGCTTTCTCTGTGATGAGAATGGACGATCTCACTATGGATTGAACAGCCATTACTTATCTTCTTGTTGGAACCCTCCCAGAGATCAGGGCTATACGAATCATTTTTCAACCTCTTTCTTAGCTCATACTTGTAAGAAGATGTATGCACTCGATCATCATTCTTCTTAGTTTTCACCGAATTCTTTAGAATATCTGCACTTGATCCTCCTATCCTGACTCCAACTTTGACATCTGGCTTCTTATAATCTTCATCTATAAGAGGACCACTGACAGACACTTTCAATTTAACCTTCTTGCGGGCTTCTTTTCTGAAATTTTCATAGTCAGAGTTATCACCACCATACTCAGAAACTTCCAGCTTGTTTATCCTACCAGTGACTTCCTTCATTTCTAGCCCCCCATTAGAGTTAGAGGCAGACGTGTCACTTTCCCTAAAATGACGAGAAGATGATTTGCTATCGGAGGATTCTGCTACTGAATACAGACCTTCCAATCCAGAAAATCTGGAAGCTTTAGACATCATCATTAAGCACATAGCCGCCTCTCGTACTCTCTCGGGACTGACCGATCGATTTGCTACAAGTTCTGGATTCTGATGAGTGATCCGGTAATGATATTCTAGCCTTTTGCTTTCCCTCTCGTTTTCAGAGTTACAAGCCAAGTGCCAACACAAAGTATCTGAGGACTGAAACCCTTTGCCACATTCCCTACAAAACCTGTCCTGCCTTGAACTGAATCCCGAATCAGCAAACCTCTGTGTTATTTTGGGGTTCTCCCTCAAGCCATAGCCTGAACTCGAATTCCCATTACCAACCTCAGATTCTGAATCTCTCTTGCTTCTTCTCCTGTCTGTCGGAACTTGAAGCTTCACGATACTGGTCCTTTCCTTTTGTTTCTCTGCAACTCGAGTTGATTTCTCATTCTTGTGAATTCTGATATGACCTCCCAAGGACTTCCCACATGGGTAACTCTTGTTGCAAAAGTTGCATACGAACTTGGTTTCTCTAGAATTCTCCATGGATATATAATTCTTCATACGATCACAACCAAAGAAACCCAGTTAAAACAACAAGATTACTTCGCCCTTTTCCTGATATAAAATGCTGCATTCTCTTGATCTTTGAAAGACGAGAATACCAGATTTGGTTAGCCTAGAAGGGATCAACAAATTGCTGTGTATTTTCTTCCAGGTGTGAAAATCTTGGTCAAGAGCAAGATCTGACAAAAAAAGAAAAAGTAACTTTCATTTCTACAAGCTATTTTGCATCCTTCATGAATGCTGAAAATCAGAAGAGGAAGAAGAAAAATTAAAACTTGGAACAAACTTGTCTGCAGGATTGTAACGAAGAGTAGCTAGCAATCGAACTGCACCATGCCTCTTTTCTCTCTCTTCTCCCCTCAGTCCATCTTCCTCTCTCTCTCTCTCTCTCCCACTAAATTTTGTTATATAGTTCGAAGAAGAATTCCATTCCATGCATGGAAGCAGAGATTGGAAAAGGCAACAAAAGATGGAATGCACGTGTAACCAGAAGAAGACCTTTCGCTGTTCCAATGGACGGTCTAGATTAGTGGGAGTCGTCAAGAATCAACAGTTGTGATGAGTTGCAAGTTTGCAACTGCCTGATATTGCAGACTCGAACCAAAAAATTAAAATTAAAAAAATAAAATTGTATCTTTGACTTTGTCTTGCTAGTAACCTCAGAGAAGTAAAGGGTCGGATTCTCCAACCGTTTTGTTTCGAGCTCCCACGTTAAAGCCCCTAATCAAAGCCTTCATTCCTCTCCCATTCCACTCTACATTTTTAAATATCGCCTTAAAATCCATTATATTGCTTCATATTTGGGAAGTGAAAACTCTCTCTGATGAATTCCAACCACACCCAGATCAGCATACTTTCAGATTCTTAACCTAGTCATTTTTTTTCATCTTTCTCCTTTTAAATATATATATATATATATATATATATATATATGTCTAACCCCATTTATTGTTAATCTCCAAATAACTAAGATATGTAAAAAAATACGTCCGATTATGCCTATTTTAGCAAAAGATTGATGTTTTAAGATTCTTTTAGGGAAAAAAATAAAAGATAAAATGTAAATTTCTAAGTCAGTTTGGTAAAAATTATTTTGTTTTTAATAATTTAGTCATGAATTTATAAAATTATTGTCAAACCAGCTTTTAATTTAATCTTCTTTTTTTTTACTTATAAATCTTGAATTAATTAAACAACATTCTAATTGTCGTTTTCGTTGAACTCAGTAAAAATTTGATAGGGTGATCTTGTGTTTTAAAATATTTGTAAGTATATCATTTAAAAAAAAATTAATGTGGAATTTGTTAATATAAAAAATAATTATCAGTTGATTTTTTTTTAAAAAAAATTATCAATTGATTTAATAATATTAATAATATTAAATTCTTCATTTTTAGTTTTACAATAATTGTTATCTAGATATTGGTTGAGATAATTATAGTAATCACATAATTTTTATTCATGTGAGTACTCAAATAATATTTTTCTTTCTATATTTGTAATTACTTTTTTAAAACATTTACTTTTTCAATATTGTCTCCTCATTATATTATATTTGCAGTTTGCTGTAAACTTAATAATGGAGAACAGTTTTAACAAAATAATAATAACAATAATAAAGAACAAAAAATTTTAATTTTCACATAGCTTTTAAAATGTAGCTAAATAGGGGCATAGAAATTATACATTTTTTTAGAAAATATAATTTATACAAAAATTAGCATTCTAAAATTAAGCTAAAAGATGGAATTTTAATTAGATAATTCGTGCTCAGTTACACTTAAATTCACACATTCTTATAACTTATAAATTTGGAGTTAATTTTAAGATAATCACCTTTTAATTTTTGTTGACTTAATTTAAGGCTGTCCATTTATTTGTTATTATACATTTATCAGTTTTTTTTAATAATAAAGAAAATAAAACAATAGCTGTAGCGACTCTTTTTTTTTTTTTTCCAAAAGCTTTAGTGATTTATTTCTGAATCATTGGGTGAAGATATTAGTAAACTTTTCACCGAGTAGATTTGAATTTTCATCCTACGATTTGAATTACAATATCTAAAAGAAATTGTAAGAGTAATCATATCTCGAAAAAAAAAGTGATAGTAATAAACATATTACACTAAGGAAAAAAACAAAACAAAAAGAACCAACAAGTCCAGAAATAGAACTCAAAGAACCAATTATGAATGAATTATAATAGAGTAGGAATCAACTAACAATTGTGTAATTTAATCTTAAAAAAAGAAAAACAGAATTACTATTAGCCATTAGTTTGTTACACCATGCCAATTTTAGGGGATTTTGTTATCTTTACTGTATTTTTGGAAACTAAATTTAAATACAAAACAAATTACTTTTTAGAGTAAACTAGGACTTAGAAATCATTGAAATCTACTACCTTTTTAAGGTATTTTTTTTTCCTGATGAGAAAAACTCATTTTAAGATCTCGAGTCAAACCCGGTAAGTACAGATAAATGAGGTCATCAATCCTCTTTTTAGAGTACTTCATATTTTTCATATAACATATAACATATATATTTATAATAATATTATTTATTTATTTAAACTCTTAATTATAATATTTTTCTTATAACATTAAAAATACAAAATAATAATATATATAATTTTTTAAAGAAAAAAAAGCCTTTAAATTTTCTATAAATTTCCCTCTTAACTCGCTAACCTTTTAAACTGGGTTATGAGACACCTTGCATATTATTATCCCTTTTCCTTTTCGTGTAACGTCATTATTCTTTTAATTGCAGACCCATAAATAACAGAAAGAAGAAAATAAATTTGTATTATGTTATAGTTAGGTTTAGGCCTCCCGTATAAACCACTTGTATGCTCAGAATAATCACTCGTCACCGATTAGTCCAGTTGAAATCCGATTTGGGAAACTTTATTGAGTCCCACCTTTTAAAAGATATGCAATCTCTAACCAATCAAACTAAGTTCAGCTTCGTACCAACTGAAACTAAGTACTAACTTAAGTTTCAAAGTATAAGTAACCGAGCATCATACCGGTCCAAGTTCTGTTTGCAGTTCATCAACTCATCTATTAGACTTCATAGTTTACATTTACTTAGTTGAATGGTTGGTCATTTTCCAACTAACATTCTGTAATTGTATTATTCGCCTTATCTTATCTGTAGATCACTTTGATTCACTAACCGAGATGATATTGGATCCAAAATCATGCATCGGTATATTATATGTTTGGTTGTTTTTTTAGACAATTTTGATTTTTGGATTAAAAAATGTCCTGCGACTTGTTACATTGCTATGGAGAAGGGAAATGAAGTTGAAAAATATCCTTGTTTTCTTTTCTCTTATTTTGTTTGGTTGTCATATGTTTGTTTCTTAAACTGTCCATTATATTTAAAACAAAATGTAAGTATCCTAAAAGACAAACATATTTTCAATTTTGGCTGCCTGCCTTTATGCATCAAAAACCTCTCTGCTCCCTAACCCATTATTTTTATTCAAGTTTTTTGTCCTTTAATTTTTTTTTTGTCGGTAACACTAACACTAACACTTACGTTTTTATGGACTTTAATTTTTATGCTTTGAAATGTTAAATTTTAGAATTTTGATCCTAAAATTTATTTGAAATATTGTTTCGATCTTTATTGTTAAATGTCTATAGATCAGTTGATGAAATTTTTTTGGTTATACCACGTGAATATGTGTGCCACGAGTATAAAAATTAATAACTAAAATTTGTGTTTAAACAAAATATGCAAATATTAGTTCGAACTAGATTTTTACAATGAGGTAGATGAGCTAGAGATTAAATATAATAGTTTAATTTTTATAAATATATATATATATAATAGTTTAATGACAAAAATATAGTTTATATGCTTTTTTTTTCCCAAAGGCTTGCTTCCAAATCTTACATCAAACTTTGAACTTTCATGTGTAAGTACTTTATATATAAAGTCTTCTGAATATAATTAAACATCCAAAATGAAATATTTCATTCCAACCACAAAAACACATGTCGAAACCAAACAACAATTTTATCATCTAAAAAAACTAGATCTAAACTCAAGAGTGAAACAACAAATTTATGAAACTTGGATGGTAGGATTGTTTAAAAAAATGTTTAGTTAATGAAATGTTGACTTTAAACTTACTAAAATTTACAATTGGATAAAAAATCATCAACTTATACAACTAAATATAGTTGTCTAACTTGACAAGCTCTGGTATAAGCATTAATCTTTTATTTTTCTAGAAATTTTAAACTAAAAGTCAACTGTCCATGGTAAATCTTAATTGGAGTGTTACATTTCCATGATAAATCTCCATTTGAAAAAGAAAATTGTTAAATTTACTAACAATGTTGAAACTTTGAGGGGGAGTCTTAACAGGGATTTCATGCCTCAAATGAGGCATCCTGCGTTATCCTATCTCATACAGAAAAGTAACACGTTTAAGTAAAAAATATTAATAATTTTTTTAGTAGGTCAAAAATTGAAATAGTCTCTTTTATATATACTTTTAAGGAAAAAAAAAAGACAGCATGCTTACGTCAAAAAGCGAAAAAGAAAAAAAAAAGAGAAAAAGAAAAACTATGAAGAAGATGCCTATTTTTAATTAAGAGTTATGACAAAAGTTACCTCCTATTTCTATACATTGGGCATCCAAAGCTGATGTCTGTTTCTTTATATCCACATATATATTTCATATATTTAT